GGTAGAGAGATCTTTAGACTCTTTCAGAGAGGAAATTTTGGATTCAAATCTTTCGGGAATTGTCACAAGAATTTTTTTAACTACCTTGTCATCTTTGAAATCCTCGCCAAGTAACTTGATTCTATTGACAATTAAAGAAATTCGGTCAGAATACTTAGCGATGGTCCCATCATCTTGCATTCTAAAGATTCAAAATCTCTTTTCAAATTTAAAATCTGATTTTGTCTACCTCATTCACTTCCTTGATACTCAAGTTTGAGTGTTTCCTAAGCTTCTTTTGTTGTCCCACAAGCAATGATTTTAGAGAAGATTGAATCTGCAACTGAATTTTGAATTATAGTTTTGACTTTGTATTTTTTAGTTTTCTCATCTGAATGAGCTTTGATTTGGGCAAGGGTAGGATTTGCAGGAAGTGGTTGTATAAGTCTGTCTTCCATTACAACTTCCCACATATCATAAGCTTCAAGATAAAATTTCATCTTTACTGACCAAATCTGATAGTTTTCACCAGTGAAAGTTTGTGGGATATTCAAAGAGAGACCGTTGCTTGCCATTGTTAAAAATTTGGTTAAAAATCGGTATGAGTAAAAATGTGTATGGTTTAAAAGTGGTTGAAATTGGTTGTTTTTCAGCGAATTCAGAGATCCATCAAGATCAATGGAGGCTTTGATACCACTTTATAGATTTTAGAAAAATATGCAAGCAGTAAGAAGGTTGAAAAATATGATTGAAAAACTGTCTCTAAAATGTTATTAATCATAGGGCTTTAAATAGCCAAATAAATAAAATAGTAGACTCCTCTTACAACTAAATTACTAACTCTTACTATAATTAAAATTTTGAATCTTCTAGCAGACTACTCTTAAAACTAAACAATAATTATTCTAGAAAATAGTATCAGTAATAGATGCAAAATCCAACACAAAGTACTTTATAAAGTTACACTACAATAATAAAGGAAGAAGTAGAAGGTGGAAGAGTTGGAGATATTCTGCCTTGGAAGATTTCACATTTAAGCTTAACTTCAAACCAAAGATCAAAGAGTTAGAGCAGGTGTAAATATTACTCAAAATTGGATTAGTAGTTGGCTCATTCTGTTTTTAATTCTTGAGTTTTTTTTTCCCTTTTGGCTTTCTTTAGTATGAATTGTGATAAAGCATCCTGGTGACCTATATATGCTTGCTATCTTAGGGGATTTTACTTTACTATTATTTTCTTTTGGTTCTCGTTTTTTTGTAACATTTTAATCTTTTAATTTCTTCTAATTTTGAGTTTCATAAATTTCAAACTATGAGATAAATTTTGAGTTTGAAGATTGTTTGCAATTAACTTTCATGTAAATATACTTCTAAATATATAACTTTTATACAGAGTCGTAGGACATTTAAGTCACTTTAACAAAACAAGTAGTTATCAACACCATTTTACCAAACACATGCATCAATTGTTTATTATCAGCTTCTGCACATTTTTAAACAAGTAACTGCTTCAATTATAAATTCAGCTTTGACACCTTAAATTTAATCCAAATATATAACTAATTATTTATAAAATTATTTTTAACGCCTAAAGCTTTTCAGTACTTGAGACAACAACTACTTTTAATCAGCTAACAAAAAACACTTTTTTTTTGCGATTTGAGATCCCTTCCTACAATCTATGAAGGCTATAAACTCCAACCAAAATCTAGGACACTACGAAGAACTTCACATTCACCTATCCCATTTTTACCCAACAAGGAAGATATGATATTATGACCTTTGGTGAAAAAAGAACACCTTAGAATCCGTCCAACCCGCTCAGGGTTGGGCTGGTTATTGACCCGCTCATTTATTGAATTCAATCCATCTTGATCCAACCGATCTCAACCATTTAAAGTTGGATTGAGTTTTAACCCAACTTGATCCCATGAGTAACTTTGCCAAAATATCTTAGAAATAAATTTGTTTTGTTTGTTTGTTATGTTATATATGACCATAACAAAAGGAAAAAAAAGTCTTATTTAGTTCATAAGAAAACAACATATATTAATTAAAGATTGATAAGAGTTGGACGGGTTGGGCTATAATAAATTTTAGCGTATTTTGACTCAACCCATCTTAGCCCAAGAAACTTTTGGACTGGCCATTTGATCTGCCCAATTATTGACTCAACCCGTATTGGCCCGTCCAAAATCGGTCCAACCCGTCAATTTGACACCTCTACGTATGACTATATTGCAACTAAAAGAACTCCATGATCTTTGTTGCTCTAGAAAGCTATTTAAAATTAAAAGCACTTGAAGTTGCACAATGACAGTAGGATACATGATGCAAATGGACAAGGATATATATTAAATATTAAGTTAGAGCAAGCATTTCAGTGATGACCACAGCATGTGAAAATGGAACTTGTAAACTAGATAGAATCTTTTTCTTCAGAGGATGGCAACAAACATCCGTAGAAGAATTTTGCTATGCATCTACCTATGTTTAGGGATGGCAATGGGGCGGTACGGGTGCGGAGCGGTGCGGGTTTGAACCTAAGCGAGGCGAGGCGGGTTTGTGACAGTGCGGGTGCGGTGCGGGTTGAATTCTTTTATTAACAAAAACTTGCGGGTGCGGGTTGACGTGGGTATGACTGCGGGTTTGGCCAAGAAACATATACTGATTCAAAATTTTACACTGACGCTGCTTATAACAGTCTATTAGTATTGTACTATATGTTATTTTAGTTATTAGATTACATGGTTTCTCACCTTTATAAATAAAATGGACTCAGAGCTATTTGTACCTTCCGTTTCTTGATGATTTGGGGATTGAAGTTTGAACTTTCAAACGACTCATTGCAACAGGAAGTTAAAACAACCTAGCTTATAGCAATTGTAATTAAAAAAAAGACAAAAACTTAAACAGAAAACTCATTAATTTAGAAAAGTCTTCCTAAATTGTAGTGAAAAGAAAAAGATAAACCAAGACTTGATATGGTAACAACTGCAAGATACTGTCACTTTGATTTTGTTAGGGGTGCTTGTATAGGATTTGGGTTTAAATTAAATTAATACTATCTTATCAAAATTGAAAAAGAAGTTTATGAATCTTAATTTTTACTATCAAATTCATTCAAAAAAGAAAAAAAAAAATTAAGCGTTGGCGGGCGGGGTGGGGCAGGACGGGTTAAAATCTTCGCAGGTGTATGCGGGTTTGTCCCATGACCGCACCGCACCATACTGTTTGACATCTCTACCTATGTTGTTGAATTGGTCACAAGTTTTATCTGAATTAGTAACTCCATTATACCTATCTTATTGGTTCACACGTTTAGCCTGATTGACTAATTCTTCCGTTGTTCAATTGGTTGCAAGTTTAGTCTAAGCTTTGGATTTATCTTCATTCTATTTATTTTATTAAAGAATTAATACCCTAAAATTCTCTTAAACTATCATATTTTTATCGTTTTCCTACTTAAACTATTTGGTGTCCCCAAGACCTTCCTGAACTATATTGCCCTTCGTATTAAAATATCCTCATTGCTGACCTGGCATGACGTGTAAACTCGCTTAGGAGCACGTGACAGCTGAAAAAAGCCATCAAAAAGCCTCTAAAAATGCCGCGAGGGAGTTTTAATATGAAGGGCAATATAATTCAGGGGGATTTTTAGGACACCGAATAGTTTGAGTCGGAAACTGACAAAAACATGATAGTTTACGAGGATTTGGTATTAACTCTTTATTAAATTATTCACAACTTTAGTCTGCAAGGCTAATCTTACGATATTAGGACCAAATGCATAAACTTTTAGTTTTTGCAAACAAATTTATTCTCGTTCACAAGCTTAATCGATGGGTTAAACTTAGATTTACACATTCCTTTCAAATACTACCAACTTCAATTCATGAAGAGGAGGAGGAGAGCGGAGATGGACGCGGTGATGTTTAAAGAGTGTGGTCCATTACCTCTGAATCAATTTTATTTGAAGTGTATTCCATCGTCTAAGTTTCAACTTGAGATAGAGAATTTGGAGTTACATAACTAATACTATAAGGAAAATTTAATTGAAATAAAGTTCTCACGGGCAAAACTCCTACCTTTTCAAGTGAAATTTATGTCCAAATACAATTGACACATTCAGATAACTTCAAATACATTCTTTTTCTTTTCAATTTCAACCAAAAATTGTATGCCTACTTAAAACTGGAATAATTTCACTAACATTTGATGACCCGTATGCAACGTAAAAACATGCCCGTAAATGATACATGTTACTTTATTTAACTATAATTATTGGTATTTAACCATAGTTAACTACCACATTTTATACACATGATCGCAAATAATTAATATAAAATACTTAATATATTGGTATTTTCCTTCATGCTCTTAATAGTATCGACGGGTATTCTTTGGGTGCTTTCTTTGACACTAACCACAATATCACAATAGCCATCACTATTCACTGGCTATTATGGCATGACAATTTTCCCAATAGCCATCACTATTCGCTGCAGCTATCCCAGCAGTATCAATTTTTCCTTCTGCTGCAACCTACCAAGAAGAATTTGTTTTGATCCTTACCAGTTCTTCCTTTTGCTGTTATTTTTCTTTTTGTTGCCCCAAAAAGTCTCGTGGCTCAAACATTTTTTAGAAGGAAACTAGAACTACAGCTAGAGGAAGGCCACCAATTACTTAATGTAAATTATCTTAAGTTCCAGAATTACCCAGTGAATTTAATCAAAATAGATTAATGTTTTGCTAGTTCAACCACTTCGTAGTTTCGAAGCTACGCTTTGGGGAAATAAATGATTGAAGAAACAATGACGTATAATTTCGGAATAGAGCCAGAATTAGAAGACGCGAAATAGACCAGACAGATTTTTTAGAAAAATCCAAGTCATTGAAACTCAGAAGAAATTAAATAGTTTACTTTGATTGTAGCATTGACCGTTCACGTATAAGGTAATTTTCCACTTCGCTAGGTTCACTATAAATAAGCAGCGTTCCATACCAAGCACAAAATCGTCCTCACCATTAATAAATGTGTCCATATTTTCTTTTCTTTTTTTAACTTCATTTACAAATGCTCTGTAGTAAAAGCCAGTGAGTACATAAAATGAGACAACCAGCACAAAGAACTCTAAGAAAGTGATGTAACTCGCTGAAGAAAGTAAAAAGAATTAAAGTTGTTATGTGTGCCTAAATTCCAGGCTAAACCACAGCTGCTTCCCAGAGAAGAGCTACAAAATTCCCTGGGCAGTATATCGAGCTAAAACCTAACTATACACAGTTAGAAATGACTCAAAAGGGAACTGTGAAGGGCAATGCATACAACTCAGCATCATGAATGTATTGCGCCCGTGGCCATAATGCAGAGCTTCCACATGTTGAATCATTGCTGACTTCTTTGCTGACTGCACTTTTTTCTCCAACTCGAGTATGCTTAGGTTTTCTTTGAAACAGCCATGCTTCATCGTCAACGTCAAGATGCTCAGTTTGAAGACTTGGTGGAAGCCAGTTCTCTATCAAATTCCTGTACTGAAATTCTATGCTGTTCTCATGCGCTTTGGAGCATGATGCAGTTGCCGCCTTGTCTACAGCAACACAGTCTCTCCACCCAGACGTGGATGGACTTGGCTCTAAAACTGATGGGGACGGACAACCTTGATTGTTGGTTGCTTTCAGCAAAGGATTGGCTCTCTCTACACTTGTCCTGACTGTAACTTCTACATCTTTTTGGGCTGGTTTTCGCAACTGCTTCTCCTTGGCAGTTGATGTCTTACCTTGCCCATCCTTTTTAGACAACCGAATGCGGATAATGCTACCTATTGTCAAACAAAGAAACAAAAACATAAGCAACAGAAACAACAGAATACCAAACTAATAAGTATGGTAATAACATTAAAATATACTCACCGTGTGCCTGTATGTTGCCATGTGAAGGTGAGGCAGGCCTCTTCCTTTTATTGCTATTCTGGGTGCTGTCAGATGAGCAGCTGGAATTCTGTGAGCACACAGCCTGTCCATGTTCCTCAGTGAGATTGCTCCTCTCCAACTGTTCAGCTTCGTCTTCTAGACATTTAAACAAGTACATTCCTTTGGACTCATGAGTGGCTTTGTCAAATCCAGGATTACTTGACTCCTTCTTTGCCTTCTTCTCTTCTCTTCTCTTCTGTTTCTTTTCTTTCTTTTCCCTCTCCAACTGTTCAGCTTCGTCTTCTAGACATTTAAACAAGTACATTCCTTTGGACTCATGAGTGGCTTTGTCAAATCCAGGATTACTTGACTCCTTCTTTGCCTTCTTCTCTTCTCTTCTCTTCTGTTTCTTTTCTTTCTTTTCCCTCTCCAACTGTTCAGCTTCGTCTTCTAGACATTTAAACAAGTACATTCCTTTGGACTCATGAGTGGCTTTGTCAAATCCAGGATTACTTGACTCCTTCTTTGCCTTCTTCTCTTCTCTTCTCTTCTGTTTCTTTTCTTTCTTTTCCCTCTCCAACTGTTCAGCTTCGTCTTCTAGACATTTAAACAAGTACATTCCTTTGGACTCATGAGTGGCTTTGTCAAATCCAGGATTACTTGACTCCTTCTTTGCCTTCTTCTCTTCTCTTCTCTTTTCTTTCTTTTCCCTCTTCTTCTCCTTCTTCTTTTCTGCTTTAGCTATCTCCCTCTCCCTTTGGAGCTTTAGAGCACCAGAGGATAACAAGTTCAGAATAGAGGGAGAGAGAAGATGAATACAGCATGACCACGAGGATATTGCACAATTAAGATCTCACTGATCTTTTATTACATCAAAGAGGCATGTGTGGAGTAACAAACATGTGTTGGGTTCACAACATAGACTTGAATCAATATGACAGAATACAGTAACGCAGCACTCAGTCAGCTAGTTCAATTTATCACACAACCTGGCCTATGGCCTTGCATTGAGTTGCTTAAAAAGTTCTAAAGAAGTCCAATCATACAACACTCTAGCAAAGGGATAAGAGGGATGAGGCTAACCCCCACTCTGCTAAAAAGCACCAAAGCATGGAGAAATTAAAGAATAACATGTTCACGAACACCACATACACAAGCACTTAGCATTGTGGACTTAACTCAACAAAAGGGTACACTTTTATTGTGGACTTAGCATTTATCATTCCTATGATTGAAGGTGCTTAAACAATCATTTGAAATGTGCAGTTAAATGTAGACTAATGTGCAGTATTCATGCTTTATTAAGTGGTCATGTCAAAGTAATGAAAAATTACAGGGAATACCTAAAAACAACAACCAAGTAGCTCATGAGTTGTTTCATAGATGACAATCTCACTTAAACTTAATTTGATGGAAACAAATAGAAGTCTAAGCAGGAAAGAGGCCTAATAACACTTCTACGGGAGCTGGACCCAAATGGATATTTTTGAAATTTACAGTTAGGATAGTTGTTTTTTTAATTTGGTTGTGAAAATTTGTGCGCATTCCCCCAAAAAATGATTTTAAAAGAGTACCTCAAAAGTAGTTTTACCCAAAAATCTTCCCAAAGGATCTTCTGAAAATTCCATCAAAAAATCCCATTTTAAATTAGTTATAAAAACATATTGCAGCCCCCATTAGTATAATCTATAGTCACAGAAAATCTCCTATTTCACCACTCCATCAAATATCAAATCTGCAATAACCTGGTCTTATTACAGGATTACTCTAATTTCTCCCTCAAACAATGCACTAAACCCTAAAGTGTCCCTACACTTTTCCAACTTTCATCCTTGATCCATGGGCAGGAGATACACTATCAGCGGGCATCGAATTATCTGGATTTCCTATGATATATGTCGTAATATTAATCATATCCTTAAAACTAATCCAATTATAACCAGGTTAAACTGGGACATATACATTATTTACAACAATGAAACCCTAAATCGAAGTTCATAGATATGCACAACCCAATGAAACAACATTATTTCCTAGGAGATTCACATGGTATAGAATCAGATTTAAACAAGCCCTCATATGCTGGATTATTTCTAGCATCACGACGAAAAAATCAGCCAGGGACAAGAGCATAAACACATAAATCAAGTGCTCTTTGTTTCAACAAACCTTAATCGATTCGATCAAGGCTTCATTATTGGCTGCTGTATTCAGCGAATAGCCAGGTGGTGGGTATGGGAAGCACCGAGACATCCTCAATACACACAGAAGTACAACCCCTTTTCGATTTCAGATCTGAAATTCCCCCTCCTCTCTTTCACGAAAACACAAAAACAAATCGTAAAAATAGATGAGTAGCGTTTAGATCTTGGATCGATTTGGCGCGATACAATAGAAAAAATTGATTGAATCGCAAAAAAATCGAAGTTCTTCTGGAAACCCTAGAGCCGACACAGACGAAATTATCGAGAGAGGCGGAGATGAATAATAGGCCTAAGGTACCTCATAAGGGGGTATTTATAGGCAGATGAGTGGCCGACTTAAAGCGCGTTTTTATTTTACCTTATTGCCCTTTTTTTTTTTTTACGGTACTAATATCCTTTTCCTTAGCATAGACGGATGGCATCACTTAAGGCCCATTTCGTATTGGAAAGCAAGTATAGACCAATTAGAATTAGAAAAACAAGTTAGAAACAGTTTTAAATTGGTAATAATTTTATGTATTTTGTCCCTAAAATTACATGATATTTACAAATTTTTAAGCTAGAACTAAGAGACAAGAGGGGTTGCTCTGATGGTAATCAACCTCCACTTCCAACCGAGAGGTTGTGAGTTCGAGTCTCCCCAAGAGCAAGGTGAGAAGTTCTTGGAGGGAAGGATGCCGAGTTTCTATTTGGAAACAGCCTCTCTACCCCAGGGTAGGGGTAAGGTCTGCGTACACACTACCCTCCCCAGACCCCACTAAGTGGAATTACACTGGATTGTTGTTGTTGTTGTTGTTGTTGTTGTTGTTAAGCTAGAACTAAGAAAAATTTGGCTAGTGATTTGAATTTAATATGTTGTAAAATTTTAAATATTAATCCGTTCTAATGTCTTATTCATGATTCTTTATTATTACATGTTGTGTCATTCGTACATGTTACCTTAATGTATTGTTGTTACTATTGTTTGTTACTTGTTGCCTTATCTCCTCCGTGTCTTGAGTCGAGGGTCAATCGGAAACAGTCTCCCTATCTTTATAAGGCAAGGTTAAAGTCTGCATACACATTACCCTTCTCATATCCCATTTATAGGAATATACTGGGTTCGTTGTTGTTGTTGTTGTTGTTGTAATCAGTTCTAGTGTCTGGCTCTCGATATATCTATTTTTTAATACTCCCTCTGTTCCAATTTATGTGAACCTGTTTGACTAGACACGAAATTTAAGAAAAAATGAAGATTTTTGGAATTTGTGGTCCTAAACAAGTCTAAAAGGGTCCAGAGTATTTATGTGGTTATAAAAGCTTCTCATTAAGGGTATAATTGTAAGTTTAAGCTAAATTATTACCAAGTTTAGAAAGGAGTCATTCTTTTTGGAACAGACCAAAAAGGAAATAGGTTCACATAAACTGGAACAGAGAGAGTAGCACTTAAGTCGATTTTAAATCCAAACAAATAACATGTAAGTATATCTCCAATTTGGTATGTGTAATGAATAAAATATAGCAAAGCAAATATGTCTAATATTTTTTTACTCGAAGAACATATTAAATTGTTGCGAACAGAATGAAATGGATGCGCTTTGGAAGAAGGATTTATTATCTGTTATCGAGTCCTCCTATGGGAAATAACAAAAGCATCTCAATACTCAAAAATTTCATATTTGAAGTGAGTTTTAAAGAAATCGTTCGAATTTTAGCAAAAGCGGCTCATATATATGTAATTTGGTATATGCAAGGAATAAAATATAGCAACGCTCATTTGCTCTTGTGTACAAACAAATTAATTCATGTGGAAAATAATATTTTTCCAATAAACCAAACAAAAAGGAATTTTTTTTTCCCTTTTCCTTTCGATTCTTTTCCATTTTTCCAGCCAGTTTCCAAATTCCCATGGCTAGTTGGCTAGTTGCAAACAGTCAATTATGCAAAAAGGGTTAGTTGGGCCAACATTTTACCCGAACCGACTGCTCTGGAACCCAATTTTACCCGCTCACGTGGCAAAGGTTGAAACCCCTAGTAAACCCAAAATCGAGTTGTTTACAAGTTGCCACAAAGGCCCATAGAATAAAGTTACATTTTCCATAGATTTTCCGAATTTCAGATCGCCGGAATGAGGAGGATTAGTGGAATCGCCGCCATATGCCGGGCCATGGACGGTGCTGCTGCCGTGTCAGTTCCGCAGTACAGGACGTCTACTGTGGCTCGGTACAGCGCGAGCAGCAGCAAATACTCTGTCAGGTCTAATTGGTATCAACCTACTAGAACCGCCGCTCACGCTGTCGCCGGATCAGTGCTTTTCTCGGTGGCGGCTACCACCTTGACCGAGGAAGTCCACGCTAAAGAAGCAGTGCCTCCGGAATTACGCCCTAAGGATATTGTTCTTTATCAGTATGAAGCTTGTCCATTTTGCAACAAGGTTAAAGGTATTCACTTTTTTCGCTATTTCTGTCTTATCGATGTTTATTTTATGTTTAATACTTATTTTTGCTGATGCGCCTCAGTAAGAAAGAAAAAGCCATTTTTGTAAGAAAATCAAGTCTAGTGTAGGTAGCCTATTATATTCATCTGTGGTCTGTTAATTAGAGGATAGCTTGGAGATAGTTCATTGAGGATTAGATAATTATTCTATAGGATACTAGATTCTTAAAGTCTTCATAAACAATATACTCTCTCTGTTTCAATTTAACTTGCCACGTAGTTTAACAAAGAAAGGAAGGCTTTTGAAATTTGTTGTCTTAAAGATTCAATAACATTTGTGTGATTATAAAATCTTCTCATTAAGGGCAAGTTGAAAAGTTCAAAGTTAAATATGTCAATTTTTTTTTTGGAATGGATTAATAAGAAAATATTGTTATATAAACTGGAATGCAGAATATAGAAATATGTCAATTTTTTGGAATGGACTAATAAGAAAATATTGTCATGTAAACTGGAATGGAAGGAGTATCAAGTATCTTTTATTTCCACTAACATGGTGCTGTTGCCAAAGCATGCTTCACCTCATTAAACTATTTGATGTATTCTTGTACTTTTGTACAATTGCTAACAACTTCTGATAACAAAGAAATCCCCAAGGTCAATGGCGCATGGTTCGAAACTCGGTGGATTATGGGTAGTGAGCCTGCAAATCTAATCTACCCTTCTCCACTTAAGAGGCTTCTGTGTGCGGCATTGTATCAAATGTTTTCTTAAGGTTTATTTATTCGTTTTGACAATGTATATCTCTGAATAGTCGTAATGCATGCTGGTTAACGTTTATGATTCCATCACTGCTTTCTTCATCCCCCCATTAATTATCAATTTATCATTATCTGGTACGCGCCATAGTCCTTCACCCTGGAACTTTTCTTTTTCAGCATTCCTTGACTACTATGACATCGCGTACAAGATCATTGAGGTCAACCCCATCAGCAAAAAAGAAATCAAGTGGTCTGATTACCAGAAAGTCCCTATTGTGATAGTTGATGGTGAAACTCTGCTGGACTCATCAGGTATCTGATGTCCTAGAATAAATACACTTTTTTAAAGTAAATACATTCTCCCTGTGTGATGGCTGTAAATTATTTATGATAATTATGTTATGGTTTAGTTTCTAAACACTGGAAGGGAGCCTTGGAGCAAATGATAAAGTTGTCTCCGTGTGACCTATAGGTCACGGGTTCGAGGCAGGGAAGCAGCCACTAATGCTTGCATTAGGGTAGACTATCTATGTGACACCCTTTGGATGTGGCCCTTTCCTGGACCCTGCGTGAACGTGAGATATTTTGTGCACCAGACTGCCCTTTTTAGTTTCTATACACTGTTGATTGTAAAATGCATCTCAACCTATCCAACGTCTAAGCTCAATTGTGAAGTAAGCATTCGGAGTGACTATAAGATAACTATATATATGGATGACAATTTTGCATCGAAGATGGATTGAAATGGATTCTAGGACACCTCGGGGGTGTAAGAGTGTGCCACCTGGACTTAAGGGCAAGTTCTACGGAGTGGTGGTTAGACCGGCTATGTTGTATGGGGTTGAGTGTTGGCCCGTCAAGAAGTCTCATGTCCAGAAGATGGAAGTAGCTGAGATGAGGATGTTGAGATGGATGTGTGGACTGTGGTCATACTAGGAAGGACAAGATCAGGAATGAAGTTATTAGGGACAAGGTAGGAGTGGCATCTGTGGAGGACAAGTTGCGGGAGTCGAGGCTGAGATGGTTCAGGCATGTGAAGAGGAGAGACATAGATGCTCCGGTTAGGAGGTGTGAGAGGTTGTCCATTGCGGGTTTGAGGAAGGGTAGGGGCAGGCCTAAGAAGTATTGGGGAGAGGTAGTTAGGCAGGACATGTCATTGCTCCAGCTTACCGCGGATGTGACTCACGATAGAAAGACGTGGAGGTCGAGGATTAGGGTTGAAGGTTTACAATTAGTAGTGTGTTCCTCCTAGGCTTACCAGTAGTACTAGGACTATTTTTGTGTTATCTTATTCATGATTCTTTACTATTACATATTGTGTCATTCGTGCACGTTACCTTAATGTATTGTTGTTACTATTATTTACTACTTGTTGCCTTATCTCCATTGTGCCTTGAGCCGAGGGTCCATCGGAAACAGCCTCCATATCTTTATAAGGTAGGGGTAAGGTCTGCGTACACACTACCCTCCCTAGACCCCATTTATGGGATTACATTGGGTTCGTTGTTATTGTTTTTTTTTTTATGGTTATGTCTAAACATATTTCTTTTGCCCTTTTGGTGGATTATAGATATTATTGATAAATTATTCGAGAAGGTTCGTCCTGTTGATTCTACCTCGGATGCTGATGAAGAAAGCAAATGGCGCAAGTATGCACTTCTCTTTCTATTTATGATAGTTTTATGACTGTGTCGTAGCATTTTCCTGTTGAGATAAGTGATATTTGGTAATAAGATTATCGAGTCTGTAAGTGACATAGGAAATTAGCCGTTGTTTCCTGATTAAGCTTTTGCTTTTTGTTACGTAAGAGGGTCTTATCCACTAATCGTTATTCTTGCAAATGTAGGTGGGTGGATAATCACTTGGTGCATGTCTTAGCACCCAACATATATCGAACTACCTCAGAAGCTCTAGAATCATTCGAGTACATCACTAGTCATGGTAAGATTTGATTGCGGTGACCACATGTCAAGATGTTTCGGGAAGAAATTTTTACTTTTTGGTGCTTTTCCTTCTTTCATACTAGTAGCTTTAACTCAAGATGTCGTGTTTTACTTAATTCTATACATTTGGCAGTAAAACTATGATGCATGCGAGTATTTAATTAGTGTTGAAAAATTCTTGTTTCTCTTTTGGTGTTTTACCCATCTTAAAAGATTTCAGTTAGTTAAGTTTGGGATAGAGAATTAAAGTTGATGTCGGTAATACTTTGCTTCTTATTAGCTAGTCTTGATGTTGTCCCGTGGCTCGCCTTTGAGCATCTGTTCTTCTGTTACAACTGGAACAGTGATTACATATGTTGTATTACTTCGTGCACTGCAAACTTGGTCTGAAGAATTAAAGATGGAAATCTGTGAAATAGAATGCTGCTGTTTCAAGATATGTATACGAAGTCACGTCCTCTATAAATATGACCAAAGCAAAACACTCCCCAGTTTGTATTTGAAAGTAAAAATATGTGATGAAGCAAATGTATACTGCTCAGTGCTCGGTGTGTTACTAGTCGTGGCTGTTCTCTGTAGTTGAATTTGTCTTGCTCATAGTTTTCTCCCTTGCTCCCTGTGTTTTATTGATTCTTATGTATTTAAGCTAGGCTTGATATTGTATCAGAACCTGAATCGTAATGGAGATGAGAAAGAGTGGAATTTATTAGCGGTGCTTATACTGAGAGTTTAACAGTTCTTTGCTTGATACCCAAGGGAGGTTCAATTCTCAACTCCTCATAAATAATATTTCAGCTTGTACACACTAGCTAATAATAAATGGTGGAGTTTTTGTAGGCTGCATTTTGATCTCTGTTTAGCATAGTCCGGTTGCAGGTCTTATTCTATGTTGTGTACCTTTATGCGAGTTGAAGCCGTGGGTGTCTTTTAGAGCAATTTTTCCCGTGGTTTACCTGTTGCACCAGTCTAATCTTATTTATGCTATGGACAGGTAATTTCGGCTTTACGGAAAGATTTACCGTCAAGTATGGTGGTGCTGCATCCATGTATTTTGTTTCAAAGAGATTGAAGAAGAAGTATAATATTACCGATGAGCGTGCAGCCCTGTATGAAGCTGCAGAAACATGGGTTGATGCTCTGAAGGGCCGAGATTTTCTTGGTCTGTTTTAACTTCTACATCAGAATCTATTTGATTGATAATTTTTGCACCAAATCCTTGTCATATGTGTGAGCCTTGACTCATTTTCGATCTAACAGGTGGCTCTAAACCAAACTTGGCTGATCTTGCTGTATATGGCGTTTTGAGACCCATCCGCTACCTGAAATCTGGTAGAGACATGGTGGAGAACACACATATCGGTGATTGGTACTCTCGAATGGAAAGTGCAGTAGGTGTGTCTGCTAGAATTCAAGCTTGAGTGGCAATTAATTGGAAAACCACAAGCAAAGACAATTTTTGAGAGGTGTTGATTACAGTTCTGAGAAAGAATATTACTTTCAAGCTAATATAAAAAGGAGATGCACTTAACCAATTTTTGGTAGTTAAGGATACCAAATAAATTTGATTGCGCGCTTGTTTACATTCTATGTTGACTTATTCTTCTGGATGAAAGTTGTATTTGAGGTGTGCTGAGACAATCTTTCTTGCAGTTTACCACTATTTTGTCGCCAATGGTGCGAACTGTAAAGTTGTCACTTGCATGTGTCAATTTTACTACTGTTTTGTCCTTCTAGTAGCCAGTTTACCTTTTCTCTTAATAATGTATTCGATTTTTCAGCTGGATGCTGGAATTGATGTTCACCCCTTCTCTTCCCTATCCTTTTTCTCTGATATGGTTGAAGTTGAGCTAGAATTTAGAATATTGCATAGTTTGGATCATTCATCATTGTCTCATTTTGGAACCTGGAGCCAGATCCCTGTCCGAGGATTAGTTTGGTCGAAGTTTGTCCTTAACCTCCGACATTAATTTTGTCGCGTTTAAAAATAAAATTTCAGATTTAAATTAGAAAAGTCCTACCATGAATACTTAATCGTATTATACAAAATTAAGGAAGTCTTTTATAGTTTAAACTTGTCTAACAGCAAGAAATTGACGCGAAAACTAGAAGCCATTTTATTGCACACAAGTCTAGTCGAAGTCATTTTGCAAGTTACTTGGCAATACTAGGAAGTATGTACTTGGACCATTGTCATTTTCTCTTTGCCTAATTTAGAATGTTCTCACTGTTTAACACCAGAATAGATCTATTCTTAGAGGCGTAACATGAAAATAAATTTAATGACCTTAAAAATTGATGGTCTTGATTTGTTGACACCCACTTGTCTCATGGGTAAATCCTTGAGGTCAAAAGCTGGTTACCCATAGGCCAAGTAAAGAGTAACACTTGTTAAACTTGAAAAGAGGGCCACTCAAAATGTCCTATTTGTGCAAATCGCCCGAAATCATGACTCAAACTTAAGATTAAGGGCCCATATACTTGTGAAAGGCCCAAAGACTGAAAATAGCATGGGCTAATTAATTTTCGGACTGAGAATTAAAAATAGTTCGAGTTTGTAAAGTCATTGAAAAATAGTCGCTATTTTGCTGAAACACGAGAAGTTCCAACATAATATGCGTGATTATAGAGTTCCTGCATATAAACTTCCAACATATTATATTGGAACTCCAGCACACAGAAAGTTCCAGCATAATATGATGGATTATGAAACATATAAATTTCCCGCATATTATATTGGAACTCTAGAACTCATATGTAAAAAATTCGAACTTCAGCATATTATGCTAAAAAAAGTTTCATATTTTTAAGTGTATTTTTATTTAGATTTTATCTTTACGTAAAAAGTGACTAAATTTCTATTACTTTGAAACAGTTATTTTTCAATTAGCAATTCTATTTGGCTATTTTTTTATTTTTTTTCCACCTAAAAACAGCACTAAAATACCCGGCAAGCTCTACTGCTTCTCTGTCTTCAATCATTTTGCACAAAAAACGAAGCAGAGATCACTGATCGGAAACTCAAAAACTGTGCTTTGAGCTCTCTCTAAAATGCAACAAGGCGATTACACCAGTTCCAATCCCTATTACCACTATCCTCAGAACCCTAATTTGGGCCATAATTCAGCTCCGATCCCAAACCCCATCCCATCACCACCGTCATACGCCTCTGCTCCGCCGTTCACCGCCACTTACATTCCCTCTTCAGATTACTCTTCTTATCCCTCTTCTTACCCTCCCCCTTATCCCGATTTACTTTCCGCTGCTCCAGCACCTCCCTTACAATCCTACAACCCTCCACCACCACCACCGGCGCCGGCACTGCAACAGCCTCAGCCATCCTCTCCATTTCCTTCATTTGAATCTCATGCTCATTCGCAGCCTCAACAGCCTTATTATCCTTCAGCTAATTCTCCGTATCCTTCAAATTACCCAACTCAATATGATCAGAGTGGGCCCTACTTTGAGGAATCTGGGGATAAATATGTAAATTATGGTTCGGGCAGAGGAGGTGAATTTGGGCAAGATATTTATGGTGATGGAGTATTTGCTTATAAAGGTAGTAAATTAGAGCCATATGGGGCACGAGGGACTGCTCCAAAGTCATCAACTTGGTCAAGTTTTGATGATTTTGGAAGGCCAATTGGGTATAATTCTTCTCCAAAGGGCAAATTATCAGCTCCAGCCGCGAAGATCGTGAAGGCAGTACCCAAGGTGGATACACAGCAGGATGTGAAAAGTGGAGTGCAGAAGTTTAGAGTAAAGTTATTAGCCGAAAGTGGACAGAGTACCCAGGATGTTCTTTGCCAGGTAAATATTGATATGGAGAAAACTATATGTTTTACTTAATTTTCGGTTTTATTTTATTTGGTATAATAATGATATGAATTGAGCTTAAATGAAAAAGTGAGGATTGATGTAGCCGACTTCCAACTTGTTTGGGGACCGAGGCGTAGTAGTTGTTGTTGTTGGTATGAAGAAAAATGCTTTTATCGAAAATGTTTTCTTAGAGGAAATCATTTTTCAGTGTGTTTGGTTTCTTTGAATTATGGAATGATGAACAACATTTTCCACCAAAATGGAAAATAACTTGACAGAAGTCAGCTTCCTTTACAAACATCTCCAGCTCTTAGTCCATATCTCCTGTTTCAATCAACATTTAGAATATTTGAAAACCTTATTTCACCAAAAAAACTCCCTTTATTATAAGCAAATTGACCCAGAACTTGTTTTCATAAATGAAGCATTTTATAACGGCTTCCCTCCTTACAAAAGGCATCTGCATTTTCCAGTTTCATGCCTTATGGAATACTCTCTTGACCAATTTCAGTGCTTGATTTCGCATTAAGGCATTTAGCATTCTTGCTAAGAAATTGCCAAGTCATCTTGGTCTCTTGTATCTCTGAGATTGTAACACCTTTATTTTGGATCATGCCATTATTTAATATCTTGGGCCTTGGGGTCTCGATTGTAGATTTTCGTTTCTCTCATCTTTGGTGTGTATCTTGTCATGATCCAAAAGTGGTGCAAACTTCTCTACTGAGTGCAGGGTCCTCTCAAGCATGATGAAGTTGTTTTATCCTGTGCGTAGTCTTGAGCCGCTAAGATAAACAGTTGATAAATGTATATCTTTTTGTTAAAATCTTCTAGCTATGTTTTGTGCTTCAACGAGGAAGATGCTTCCCTTTTTGGTCTGTGCCTGTATGCTCTAAATGGGCTTCTTGTCTTGGTGCATTATGTGTCTCTATCTCTTAAGTGGTCAAGCAAAAAGCAGTATTCTAACTTGGAATCCTTCTTGTGGTGCATTTCAGATTGGCTTGGATGGAATCCGCATGTTGGACCCAAGCACTAGCCGGACGTTAAGAATATATCCTCTTGACACGATAACTAGATGTGACGTAAGTGCTTCTTGTTCTTTCTCTCCATGTCCAACCATGTGTGACAACACAATTTTATTATCTTTACCTTCCTGATATGACGTTGAAAGAGTTTTCTCTTTTTTCTGAAATGACTTTATGGACTGAAACTTGAACATTGATATTGTTGGCAGGGCAGCCCAATGAGTTTTGTGGCCCAAAGCAAAACTTTACGAGGGGCCTTAACTTTTTTTTTTTTAACAAAAAATTATTTATTTATTTGAAGTTTATTTTTCTAGCTTTTCTTAGATACAAAGTTATTAATAATTTTTTATAATCAATAACTCCTAATAAGTCTTTCTTAATTGACAATATAGCTAATCCATTTAACCTTTCTTGAAACGTTATTAATCTTAGGTAAGATTCTATCAATTTTAATTTTAAAAATATTTCCGCTGAAGCAACTGTAACAAGAGTTATTAACATAATTCCATAAGCAATAAAGGCATTTGACAAAGAATCAAATCTTTTTATTTGACTGAGTGTATCAATTAAGTCGTTATCTTCTAATTGTAGTATTTTCCTTCATATCTTAAAGGAACATTCAAGATTAAGGCAATATTTTTTCATTATCTAGTGATCTTAATTTTTATCGCTAAATAGAAAATCAAAAATATTTTCATATGCTTTGAATTGTTCAAATCTATTTTTGAAGTGAAAAAATAGCCTTGTCTACTATGTTTAAAAGTAATCAACTCCAAAGGACTTTTTGAAAGATTTTGAGATTTTATTATCAACATTCTTATTAAATTGTTACTTCCTATATATCATTACGTTTCTTACAGAATTCGGGTTTAATATTCATTAAGTGCAGTTTTTCTTGGCAGAAATCATAGCAATTGCAAATTCTTCTTCTCTATATTTATTAAAGAAATGAATCAAACATTTTCACTTTACGGAATCTTTTTTTAAACTTATACTTAGCCTATTAAGTGTAACAAAAAATGGGGCCTCTACAAATGTGGGGCCTAAAGCAGTTGCTTTACTTGCTTTATGGAAGGGCCGCCCCTGATTGTTGGTTTGCAACATTGGCTGCTGGTAATGGCATGAGGAAGATTTGCTATTATGTTATATGGTGGAGAAAGAGATGAGTATGGAGTTGAGGGCATAAATTGTTTACCGATTTGCGACTGGAATCTTGTTTTAGAAGTATTTCTAGGTTTTTCAGATACGGCGTTCATTTAACAGAATGCATAAATATGTCGGGGGCATGATATTTTTGTGCATATGAACATGATAGTTTTGTATTTGAGATTACTAGACGGATTCCAATTCAAGATTCTAGCTGCACATCGAGTACCTGAACAATATTTGCCCTCAACTTCATTAAAGCACATTAGATTTGTCTTTTCCTCCAAGATTCTAGATTTTCCACCTCTTTGAATCTTTGCTGAATATTGCTGAAGTGGTTCCTGTTTTGTTCTTTAGGTAACTGATTCATCTACCTTTGCCTTCTGGTCAAAGAGTGTGGTGGATATAGAACCAAGGCGTATCAGACTGCAGTCAAACAGTTACACAACCAGTACTCTTTTAGATACAGTCACGGCAGCAACTGTACAGGTTCAAATCTGTCTTTCCGTTTTTAATATTTGGGATCCCAGTTTGTTTTATCTTTTAACTGTTGTGATTGATGTTTACTGCTCAAAAAAGAATCCATTATTCATGTTATCAGATTGCTTGATTTTCTTGTCCTGTGTGTATCTATAATTTGGTAGCTTCAAGTATCAAAGGATATGAATTTGTAGGTTAATTTATCAAAATAATGAACTTGTAGCTTATAGTAAGTTAGCCAACTGATGTGTTGGCTTTCTTGGTTATCGCTTAGCTCAGTGTACCACTTTGTCTTTCTTGGTTATGGTTTTACTTAAACCTCCTCATTTCATAGTTCTTGGTTATCGATGTGCTCAGAGTACCAGTTTGTCTTTCTTGGTTATGGTTTTACTTAAACCTCCTCATTTCAATAGTTCTGTCCCATATTATTTATCTAACAATGTTTTTTTGGAGGAAAGTGCAATAGATTGGAGTCTGGACCAGATGGAATGAATCAAATTTTTTATTTTCATTTTCTTTTAGGGCATCATTGACGAATTTACAAACAGGGAAATTGTAAATTCCTGAATATTCATTCTTATATGGACCAATTTTTACCTTCTTTTATGTCAAATGTCTTTAAATGACTTCACACCAAGGTTGCGTTGATATACTAGTTCCATCAAGTGTGCAACATCCGTTAGGGCTTCACTAAAATCTAGCCATCCATCTATATAAAATGGTTTCTTTTTTGATGAACAAAAACACAAATGAATAGCGAGAATCTTGACTCTAGACAATGGGTTTTCAACTTATTCAAAAGTCATACTACTCCTTTCTCTTCATATTAACTAAAAAAGTCAAAAAAGGACTATATCTTTTTTATTTAATAACCGTGGAGTCCGGGTCAGCATGCACGCACGTTGACTAATTTCACAGGATAACTGCTACCTCCTCACCAGCAACAGCTACCGGGTAACTCTATCCACCAAGGCTTGGACAGATGGGAAGAATCACCCAATGTTTTTTTGCCTCCGCTGGGACTTGAAACTGAGACCTCATGGTTCTAACCCACTTCATTGACCACTAGGCCATACCCTTGGCTGCTATATATCTTTTTCATGCTACTTTCTTTCTAGCATCCAGATTGCTTGTCTACCATATTGCTAGTGGTTCTGTCACTGTTCTGTGCAGGACTCACTTTATGTTAAATATGGAGTATTTGACGGACCGTAGTTTCAATGCGAATATAAATGTAGTAGACGATGGTCCTCATCCTACCCATGTTTTTTGATGAAGTAAGTAGAATATATCATAAAATGCATCAGGAAGATGCAAAAGTTACAAAAGAAGTGA